ACTGGCCCACCACACAATTTCATTACTAAATTTTATCTCCAACAAATTCAACTTTAAAATGGGAAATAGAGACTCTTAGAGAAACAAAGGGCGTCAGAAAGCCAGGGTCTGACTAACACCTCAGCCAGGTTTATGTATGTACAAAATGTATATTTGCAAGTACCCACTTGATTGGGAATTCAGGGAACTTTTGCCCTGAAAATGGTCCAAATGGGCTCTTTGATTGCATATGCAGTTGTTAGAGAAAGTGAGCTTGAAAAAAGAAAAAAAAATCTTTTCAGAATTCTGACCGAGGGGGAAAGTCCTTCTAGAGGAACTTGCGCGTCCTGCCCTGGGCCTTGAGACCAGGCTCCGAGGAACAGGGATCTGGAGCGCGGCTAATTCCTGCGACTCGGGGTGGTGTGGGGTGGGGGGAGCCTTTTTAAATTTAGCTTATTCCAACTGTCATTTATAAACTAGTGAGTTTTATATCGTGAGAGCTGATTCATGATGAAGTTTAGAAGATGAAGAAGCTATGCGAGCTCTGACTCTGTCTGTCTATATTATATATGCCTTCACCACTGGACGGTATTACCTAATTAATTTGTAAATGAGCTCTACTTAATTGGCTTACAGGAAATTAAGCACTTATATAAATGCTCAGAAATATAAAAGGAAACCCTGGCCAGAATGAATTTCAGGTTCACATAAACTGGGAAGTACTCAGTGTTAAATAAATACCAGGTATTAAAGTTTGCAGATTTAATTAATACAGACATGTCTTTAGAGTCATCAGTGTGAAGTATAATACCTTTACTGTACCTAGGGTTAGTAGAAGTCACATAAGATCTTATTATATCTTTTGCAAATTCGTCAGCAAGGAAAATAACTTAGTATGATGAAATTTTTATAAGTAAATTAAATGTAAATGAGATAAAAAGCTTCGGGTTAACTATTTAGGAACAACTGTTTGGGGAATATCTACTTAAAAATAATTTCTCCAGGTATTTGGTAACTTGAAATTTTAGAATTGTACCAAATTAAGCTAAATGATGGAAGTTTATTGAATAGCTAGGTGATTACCAAATAAAATACTGAAACATTAATTACTGAATATTGGTTTCCTTTTATAAACAAGATATTTAGGACTATAAATAAATATGTTTTAGTGCCCAAATGAGATATTTTCTCTAAGAAAGAACATGATTTAAAAAAAAAGATTACTGGAATTTGTTTACCAATCTACAGAATGCTAATGTAAAAGACAGTTCATAATTGCTTGCTTCTTAATTTTCACTAGAAATTATGGATTCTAATTTAAATATGTAATTAAAGCTACTAGATACAGAAGGAAAGTAGGATGTGTGTTTTCAGTAAAGAAGGTAAGAGGAATGGAATTGCACTGTGTTAAAGGAAAAGAAAGTAGGTTATCCTAGAGCTGGTTTTTCCTGGATGGAAAAAAAATAAGGGACAAACTAATATGGACACAGAAAGTGATGGAAGGTCATGGGAGAGGAACCCTAAGAAAAGAGTTTTGTGCATGGTCAGGATTGGCTAACTTTAGAATAAACTTGAGTAAATGAATTTTTAAAACAAGCTGGTGCAAAACCTGAATTTGGCTTTTCTCTCTGTTAAGAGGACAAATTTCTCTTAAAATGTTAAGCTGCTTTTGATAACATGGTAAAGTTTCTTTCACCTCTAGTTGGAAATCTGTTACAACTTTCCATATTTGCCTTCAAAATCTTTTATTATCACTTTGGTTAAGTGAAAAAGTATTGTTTCATAGTGACCTATGATCTTACCTGACCAAGTATTTTAAAACCTTTTTGGTATTTTTTGACAATTCCCAAATCAAGTTGTAATGAAGTTTCTTTGACCTCTAATTAACTTTGGGATGCTTCAAAGGGCCCCTGAAACATCCCAAAGAGAGAGATTAAGCTACTTAGGTTCATTTGGTATGTTAAATTACATGGGAAGTATTGTCAAATGAGTAATAAATCTGCTTATGTTATACTGTATGGTAACTGTTACTAGATGTTATAGAAATTATATGGAATTCCTAAAAATCTGGTACGTCCTGGTAAAATGTTCAGTCATAATTCTAGTTATTGTCTTAAAATGTTGTGTGTCAGAGCAGTCAGTTTCTTTGCCAATTGCATCGTAATCAGGTTTTTAACCGTGTGTGCTTAAGTCTTTGTCATTCATAGACAGTTATGGTTTTACTCTGATGCCTTTGCAAAAATGCTTCCTCTCCAAGATTCATAGAAAGGGCTTTTTGAAAAGTACAGATATTCTGATAACTTTCAGATCATAATGTTGAACTGAATAAGAAATTAAGAATTCCAGTGGAAAACCTGATGGCTTCATAGAACTGTTAACAGAAAGGATTAGTTACATAGGATTGAGTGAACTAGTGAATATGATTATAATTTTTATGGTTTCTGTCTGAAATATTACCGGCTTTTAATCGGTTTTCCCATATAAGGAAACCCTTCCCCCTCAAGCTAATTATGATTTACAGCAATCTGGTAAATCTGACCTTTGTAAGCAGAGTGCAAACATTTACCTTTTCTCTCTATCTGATCCCTGCAGAGATTGGAAATGCTTAAGCTCTCAGCAGCTTTACAAGATAAATTAGCTAGGCCATCTCCTAACAGGTACAGGAATATCAAGGTAATTTTTGGACCTCGAAAAGGGAAGAATTCACCTAAATCTGTAAGGCAAAATCTGTGACAAGCCCTTGGTGTTGTTTTCCTGGCCCCAAAAAGCCTTTTTAAAAGTTCAATCTGAGATCCCTTACAAAAATTTTAGCAAAGCCAATTAGAAAAAAAAAAGCCTATATTATCAATTATACTTATATAAATCATCAGGCCAAGTTTATTGAAACCAGACTTATCTTGCAAACAAATTAGTCTTAATTTGGCTATCTTTTATAGAAATGAGGGTAATTTTAGAGATAAAAAAGATTGTTTCATTGAATATTCTAGTTTTGTTAACTGAGGTCTGTATTTACTGCCCAAGACTCACTTCCCGGATAGCTCCTTGCTATTATGTTATTGTAAGTTTAACTGACCTGTTAAAGGAACAATCTGTTTCTGAAGCTTATCTCAGTATCCTATCTTTGGATGAAGATCAGATGCCCATGACCTGCAACCAGGGGATTAGGCATACTGGGAAAGACATCTTTTAAAGGACTGCCTTCAACCTAGGTGGAAGGACCCTTATCAGGTACTCTTGGTTAGCTCATGCACAGTGAAAGTGAAGGGAATTGACTCTTGGATTAATATTTCCACTTGTAAAGGGCCCCTGCACTGGACTGGCCTATAGAGAACACTGCTGACCTCAATCACCGTAAAACAATGCTCAGAGGAGAAACTACCAGACCAGGATGAGAAGACTACGACACGAGGTAGACAGCTGACCCAAGATCCCGCACCAGCCTCTATACCAACCTCTTTGATCAAACTGCTCACGCTTTTGCTTGTGAACTACTTCACAATCTTATGCAGAGTTAGTTAGTCCAATTACTAGGTTTATGGTCATGTATCCAGCACTTCTGGGTTACCTTGCTGGATTTGCCTACTCTAAGGCTTTCACTGGATGGCCCTTAGGAAATTTATTCTAGAAAAAGAAATCATTCTGTTCAGGCAGGTCACTGCTGATGTTAGTAGGTGGGATCCCCTCCCCTGGCCAATTAGTAATACTTGCTCTGACTCTGGCCATAAATATGAGTTTTCTTCTAGAGTTGCTCTAGCTCAATCAAAGCAACAAGTAAAATTTCAGCCGAAGAGTATCACATCCCTCAATTGCGGAACATACTTCCATGGTTAACCCCAGGCTGTGATCATTTAAGTTTAAAGGCGCCCTCATGTTGGAACATACAGTTAAATTACACTAAGGATAACCAGCCTGGTAAAACTAGGGAACTTTGGCTGGGCCCCTTATCAATGATGCCTGTGTAACAATTTTCCTTACAGATAAGGACTGGTACAGAACAGACTAAGATGACCTGGGGGCACACTGGACTACACCCAAGGTAAGTTCTTGGCTTAAATTCTCACTTATGACCTTACTAATACTGCTAGCTATATCATTTGTATGTTGCCTGTTTTACAAAATTGTTGTTTCTTGCATTACCAAATGTGTGACCGAGCCTCTGATAAGATGATGACAAGGTGACTTGAAGCAGTTAACCAAACACATAGTTACTGTAGTAGCCCAACTCTGGGTATGGGAAGAAGCAACAGTGGGAATATTTTCCTGGACCACAACAGACTAAGACAGGTGGTCCGGAGACTTTCGGCTGCTGTTGTTAAGGCTTAGTCCTGTAATAGCACACTGAGGGGCCTATCAGTGAAATCCTTGTGTGACCTAGGATTGAGCATTCCTAGCACTACGGGATGAAACGGTCATGAAATGCCTCCCAAACCATGGTTGAATTTATGACCAGGATGGGGCCCTGCCAGCTAAAAACTGGCACTTGCCACCTGCCGCTACAAGGACTGGATCCCGCTGGCACTTGCCATCTACCTCTGCTTGGAGTAAACCATGAGCAGCTGCAGCCACTGACCTCCAATGCTCCCTGAAGGGAGTTCGGGGTGGAGATCAGGGCTGAGGCGCTCTGTGCTCTGGGAAAACTGGTGGAACAGGCCTTCAGACAGATACTTTCATATTTTATGAGCCCAAATTCTTGAATCTTCTCCTATCTAGAAAAGCGCTAACATCATTATGGCGACATCTGCCCTTCGTGACTAGTAGCAAGCCTCTAACAAAGTGTGTGCTTGACTGCACACACCCCCTTCACTCAGATCATCCGTAATACTGGCGCTCCCTTCCCCTTGCCTCTTCTGAGCAGTTCCTCGGAGCTGAGATGCTGTCCCCCGGGCTGTAGCTGTTATTTTGCCCCAAATGAAACGTACTTCTCACACTGCATTTTTTTTCAGTTGACAAAATACTATCACAAATCAGGGCCTGCTTGGAAAATAACTACTTATTACCCAAGATCAATGAAGGAAAAAGGAAACTTACTAAAATATTTCTTTATTTGAATAAGGTCAATGTCACTTCTTGAATTCCAGCTAGCATCAAGTAACAATCAGGAAAAAAACACTTGACAAAATGTTATCCAATTGAAATTAACAGTGGATAGAAAACCCTTTTTAAACTTTAAAAGAAATATATTAAACAGGCAACATACAGATCTAAAAAGTTGTTAAGTGGTGATTTTACATTAGATCTTATAAATAAAAAAATCCCCAATATAATCATTTGTTCACTATCCCTGTGATAAGCACATGGGCAGGAAAAGATAATCACATCTTAATATTCACAACTGTCATCGATGTTCTTTACAAAGATGCAATGCAGCGGGTCAGGCAATCCCTTATTCAAGTAATTTTTGTTTTCCCCAAGTTATCAAAAAGTACAATTGTCTGAGATAAAATGTCAGAGAAATCACAACCAGGGAAGCAAAAAGCTTTAGCAGGCAGACTTGAAGATGGGGGTTTTCATGGCTGGTCTAAGATCTGACGATGACTTTAAGTTTAAGAGCCATCGACCGAAGTACTAAGAGCTACAGGCAGCAATCAGAGTTCAGTTTGTAGTTGCTAATGAACCAAAAGAAAATTAAGTAGTAGAGTGTAAGTATAGCAGAATCAGTGCACATTTGCTAATGTCATTGACAATGAAAATGTTACATTATGGTCTCAGCTCAGCTTTACAGCAATAAAAGACTTAGTTCTTTTCACCCCCCATCTTAGTGGTTCTCAAACAGTAGCGTGCTCAAATTACCTCAAGGTGCCTGTTGAAAACATACTCTGAAGTCCCCACGCCCTGAATTTGGATTCAGGTGGTTTGGAAGGGAGCACTGGAACCTGCATCCTTAACAAGCACTCCAGGACAGATGGTCCACAGACCACACTTAGAGAAACACTGATATTCCTTTAATACATAACAAAATATTGTGGCCTCATAGTAAAGTTTCAAGCTGAATAAAATAGTCAAACAGAACACAAATAGGTACATTAAATAAGAGTATTAGCCATTATATAATTTCACCTTTTCAAAGTGGCATAAGCACAAAGACACTACAGTTTTAAAATTAATTTTGTTTTAATCCAAGGCACCTGTAAAATACTTGCTGGTGTGAGAGACGTTAAATTCAATTATACAAAACAGTATAGAAATGAAAGAATCTTGGCAGTGATTTTTTTTCACAGAGCACTTTTCTACAGAAATGAGCTACTTAAAGTCAATGATTTTGAAGAAAACAGACCAAATTTCAAATAATAACCTCAACTATTTGAGTGATTTTCAGCAAATTAGTAAGAAACAAACAAGATTCATACTCATGTTCTTTCGTCCTAGCTGTCTCCACTGTTACAAGGAAGGAACTGAACGATTCCTCTTGAATTTTAGCCTGGAAAATGGATACTGCATAGACCTGGCATTCCTTTGACAGGTTCAGGCACACGTGACCACGGACTTTGTAATACTGGATGTTCTGGAGCCTTTTATCTCAAGGATTTCCAAGTTTCATAGTCTACAAATGAAACATGCTTCTGAAGGTATTAATTTTTTTTTCATGAAATAAGAGTAAATTCTGTGATAGGATCTTTGAAACACGAATTTCAAAACGTCAATGCTACAAGGAAAAACACTAGTAGAAGCACGTTCTATGTTGAAGTGGCCAAAGCAGCAGAGAGTGATCACTAGAATATTCTTGTTCTGTGTCCCAGGGTAAGTGGTAGGAGTGTTTGCATCTGCAGTACTAGTTAGGTATTGCTATAATGCAGAATTCTTCAGCGTCTTTGTATGGATTTTAGGCATTTTAGGCAATTAATTCAATCTAAATGACACACCTGGGAGCAAATTTATGAAGGTTTTGAAGAACTAAATAGTACTATTTATGAAAAAGTGTTTTTGATTCTGTAACAAGTGAAAGATAACCACTTCAGCTAAAAGAGGTAAAGTAAGAGTATTTCAACATCTATATCAGCTGTGAAAACAAAATTAAGTCTGCATCTTAAAATGTCATTTACAGATTGTTTCTATAATACCCAGAACTAGGTACACAGCCGGTAACACCCCCTTCCAGCCTGACATTTCAAGGTTAAGCTTACTACCAAGTGCTTCAGAATATCCTTATTTCTGGCAGGAAAAGAGAAATCAGAAGTACTAATGCTGTTTTTCAGATTTTGCCTTCAAAAACTTTAACAATGCTCTACTACTGTCGCCTTGATTTCCATGAAGAAGCACCAGGGTGCGTGATCAGAATGCAGTGGTAAGTTTTGTGACCTTAAAATATCCTCTGAACATGCATGCACTCTGAGTTGAATTTACCCATTTACATGCAGAGTAATTTTCATAATCTTGAATATACACTATTGGAATGCACTCAGGAATATTAGCCATCATGAAATGAACACATTACCAGGCAAAATACCCATAAAAACCATTATCAGAGGAATGTTCTCACCTAATCAGTTTCTCAGGTAAAGAGCAGCTCTTAATTCTCCCCCCAAGTTTCCTTTAAAAGTGAAATATACTATTGATAATCAGAGGGGAAAAAAATACTTCAATAAACATTCTGATGCCTATAATTCAGATCCTAACACTCTTAGACAAAACAGTCTGATTTCAAAGGGAGTTGTGTTAGACTCAAGGACTGCAGCACTGAGTCTCAGAGTAGGAAATTCTGGCCTCTAAAAAGACCTGAGTTATAGAATAAATATGGGAGTAGCTCTCAGACCTCATTTTGGAGGGCAGGAGGCCAAGGGTGTTTGCTACAGCTAGAAACCTCCAAAATCGGGAGACGTGGGGGTAACTTTCATATATGGGGGGTCCCCCCACTTTGTTATTTACCCTCTGATTTATCAATATTCTGTTCAGTGGCTGTATTCTACTGGCCAGAAATTAACTGATTTATGTACTATGCACAAATTTACATGTGGTTGTCTTTAAGGTTCATTCTTACTACAACTCAATGTTTAAAGTTATTTTATACAAAATTTAATAATTTAGACTATGAAGCAATTTAAATACTTAAATTCCCTCAAAAAGACATTTTGTACATACATACATGATGTACACATATGAAAATGGTGATCAAAAGAATTTTTTGGCAGCTGCTTCTTGCTGAGTCCTAAGGAAAAAGAGAAAGGAAAAAACAGGATTGCTTAAAATTAAAATATACAATGCCTTCTGAAGTATGAAATACAATAAAGATAAGCATATGTCCCATATATGCATGCCCATGTGAAACAGACTAGAAATACCTGCTTTGCATAAACCTAGTTTTATAGGTACTGAGTGTCCTATTATGGACATAGATAACTTAAATACTGGGTCAAATTTCAGAGACTTACCTATACATGACATACCCAACGAATAACACCGTTTGTACTGCTACAAATATAACGAAGTGCACCGTAGATAAACATGATGGAAAGGGTGGGAGTTCTGGGCATTTCGGTCTTTCATTTGATGGCTGTTAAGGCAAAGAGCTTTCTATTACAATTAGTCAAATCAGTATTTTAGAAAAGGAAATAAATGTGAAATCCTTATAAAACTCATGGTTTATTGTATGAAACTCAAGTATCTTCATTTATTCATCCCATAAATACCTTCCAACCCCTTAACTTTCGCCACCAAACTTTTTAAGAGTAGGTGACACTGAAGGCCTCCACCTCTCACTGTCCAGCTCTTACCTTCATCACAGTGACAATGATTTTAGTGTCCCTGGAGGTCACAGATCACAAGTTCCAGTTTATACTTGCTGTACTAAAGTAATTATTACTTTCATACATATCTTTATTGAAGTATAGTCAGTTTACAAAGTTGTCAATTTCAGGTGTACAGCACTTCAGTCATGTAGGAACACACATATATTCATTTTCATATTTTTCTTTGTAGGTTACTATAAGATCTTGAATATAGTTCCCTGTGCTACACAGTATAAACTTGTTATTTATCTATTTTATATATATTAGTTATTTTATCTGCAAACCTCAAACTCCCAGTTTATCCCTTCCCCTCCCCCCCGTAACCATAAGTTTGTTTCCTATGTCTGTGAGTCTGTATCTGTTTTGTAAATAAGTTCATTTGCCTTTTTTTTTTTTGACTCCACATATCATATGATATTTTTGTTTCTCTTTCTGGCTGGCTTCACTTAGAATGACATTCTCCTTGTCCATTCATGTTGCTGCAAATGGCATTATTTTTTATAGCTGAGTAGCATTCCACTGGGTTATTAGCAGCACCCTCATTCTTAAGTGTTCTCTGTTTTAGACAATTACATGGTTACCCTACCAAAGAACTACCTGGCAGACAGAATGGCCTTTTCTCAACTCTCATCCTTCCCAATTTCCTGGCATTCAACCTCACTAATTAGTATTTTGAAAACTATTTCTTTTCCTATTTCCGTGAGTATTCCTTCTATTATAAGGAGGTAATTAAATACCAGGGACAAAGATTTCATCAAGGTATCCAAATAGAACATAAGTTTGATAAGGATTTCATGAGTTTTATAAGGATTTCACTAAACTTAGTTGTTCTCAACATGATCACATCTGTGGGACAAAG